AAAAAAAAAAAAAAAAAATAAAAATAAAAAATAAAAATAAAAAAAAAACGAAAAGAAAATGAAAAAAAAAAAAAAAGAAAAAGAAAACAAGAAATGCAACGAAACGGTTAAACAATTAATAAGTATGATCTTTTTTTTTAAAGATTTCAGTAGAAGAACTATGCGCTTCATAATTACTGTAATATCAGAGCACGTTTTTTCATAAATAAAGCTAAAACCAATTTTATTTACCGCTCCCAAAAACCAAGAATTTCATGTCGTTAACAACAAAAACTCCATCCCATTTCTCCTCTATTCAAAATTTAGAAATAATTAATAGTTTTGCCAACAGTATCATCGACCCGGCTAAACTTCAAACCGTATCGAAACCAACAAAACAAAAAAAAAAAGAAAACGATAGAGAAAAAAACATGCTCGACTCGATAATCAACCAATTATTTATTCGAAAAAAAAAAGCGGAAACAAAATTTCAACAAGTCATACTAAACATCATGAAACAAAACATTACATTTGGAAAGCGGCTTCATAATTAACTGGGACTGCTATTGGGGTTGAATATAACTCCGGGGCATTCATTCCCATTGAATTCCACATGTTTAAGCCCTGATTCGCAGCGTTTACAGCAGCCGCTGAAAAGTGGAAGTCGTTAATGGGCGGTAGAAGTCCTCCATCACCACGATGCAAGGAATCGTCCTCTGCTAATCGCTGATTCCCAACTTGGATAACATTTCCCGACCCAAAAAGTAACTGAGCAGACGCGCATCCATTGGGCTGCGAACTTAACGCAGCTGTATCTAAATCGGGCGCCGAGTTTACACTTCCATAACCGCTCGACGAGCCACTAGAGAGAGACCGTAACTCGTCTTTGAAAGCTTCCTGAAAAACAGTATTACTTTAATAGTCAGAAGGATTTTGAAACGACATTTTGGTCGAAATTCCAACCCAAATGAGAACCAGGGAAACTAAAACCTGAGCTGGGGACCTGCTCGAATTCTGATGGTAATAAACCGCTGGAGGCAGACCGTGACGCTGTGCTATAGAGGCTCCATATGATGTACTTACATCACCGAGATTCTGCTAGAAATGATTTTATAAAACCAAAAAAAAAGGAAAAAAAAATGGAACCCATTATCGCTATAATTCCTAGTATTAACATCCTTACCACTTGACTGGATGGGGCCAAAATCTGGCTGGGTGAACCAGCTGCGGAACTGGCAAACACCGCAGCTGCGGAGTGCTGTGGCCCAGGATAGAAGTCTTCATAAAACCCGCTTTCTGGAGTCAAGGGTGCCTGACCAAATTCGTTTGGTGACGGGTATGACTGATGGTACAGCCGTTCCTGAAAGTAAAAATTAGGCAACTTTCAGTAGACGAACGTGCTTTGCTAGAAAAAAAAAAAATTGAAGTTACACATGTTTCGCAAAGGCGGTGTAATTTTCTATAATTAAAGAATAAGAATTTAGAAAAGATTAAAATCAAGCAACAAAAATATACTTTGTTATAAATCGTTCAATTTAAAATACCCATATATCCAGCCCAAAAGAAAGGGAAAATTTGCAAGCAAACCATCAAAAGTAAAGAGCCGAAGGGTTACGTACGAACCTGCTTGTTCCCAACGCCCGTTGGGCTTTTCATCTCCTCACTGATGACATTCAAATACCGTATCCCGTCGTGATCTATTTTCATCGATTTCCCCGCAAAATGAAGCGAGTGAGTTTCGCTATGCCCTCCAACTGACATCCCCAAAACGTTATGCGGTCTGCAAAAACTTACCTGCTGCAATTACCAATAACACCCACAATGTATCAAATGCAGCTAAACTTATACTACGACTTACGAAAATACACAGCAACAGAGTTCAACAATACAATAAACTGATAAAACCCATTGAAATACTTCACAATTGTAAAATGAATACCGTTTTTGAGGCTTATTTCTGTTTGATAACCCGGCCTGCAAATTTGTACACGGACGAGTTTGTTGAATGTTAGTTGTAGCAGCGCCCTGACTGCTGCCAACGTTCGGTTCAGCACCCTTTTTCGGCTTCTTGCGTGGCTTATATTTATAATCAGGATACTCTTTCATGTGGAGGACCCGTAATCGTTCCGCTTCCTGCACAAATGGCTTCTTTTCATCCTCAGTTAACTGTCGCCAACGTTGACCAAGCTGAAGAGGAAAACAAACAAAACTTCAAAAAATAGTTTCAACCACAGAAATTTCTTTAATCAGACTGAAGTAACTAAAGTCTCATGCTCCTTTAATATATGCTCGAGTTTTTCAAAAATGAAAATAAAAATGGGCAAAAACAATGAGGAAAAAAGAGGCAAAAATAAGTATAAACCAAAAAAACTGCTTTTTCATAAACTAGATGATGATGCATATTTGTAGTACGATGAATGATCGTAAAAACAAGAAATAAATTAGTGAAAGACAAACGCAAAGTTTCAACGTTATCTTTAGACGATCAAAATTCACTGCTCAAAAAAAAAAAAAAAAAAAAAAAAAAAAA